TTTTTTAACTTTGTTTAACTTTTAATTTAACTATTTTTATTTTTATAACTTTAATGCAGAACTGAAATAAAGGCTATTTTATTTTTATTTATTATTTATTTATTTATAATTACACATAAAATTATCTTTATTATACTTATTAGTCTAGATAAGGATGTATAGGTAACTCTCCACGATCCTCACTTCTTACGGAAAATAGATCTAGACTCGCAGGGTGTACAACAGCGCAAAATAAAATGTACTAAAAAAACGCCTCTATTGCATCATTACTTTAAGTTTAAATATCAAATACATCTTACCCGGGAAGACGGGCAGTGACCAGTACAAGTCCTGATTCGGAGGCTTGGTGAAGACATATCTGAGCTCGCTTTCGATAGGCACGGAGACGAACTGGTCGTTGATGACTACGGAGCCTTGCAAGTCCATCAGAGTGTATCCAACCCTGTCGCCGAACACTGGCGCCGCAAGCTGTATGCGCGAGTAGTGTGTTGCCTGATAATTAAGAGAATATTAATACTGGTTATTGAACGGATACACCACAATTTTCTAAAGAAAAAATCTTGAAATGTAATATGATTTTCATAAGAGTTATATGGTGACTTACTTCATGGCACTCAGTTGTAGCCCCTGAACAATAGCAGGAATGGCAGCCGAGAGGGTTGTCGGAGTCAAGGCCGAAGGTACCAGGTCGGCAGCGATCGCAAGACTGGCCTTCCACGTTCTGCTTGCAGCGACAGTAACCTTGACTATCGCACGAACCCTCTGCCCCGCGGGAATCACAACTGTAAGAGAAGCAGAAAATTCACGTTAGTTCGTGGTTCGTTAATTCACAGCATTTTAATGTTTAAAACACCACCTGTTAAAGCGGATACATGTAGGCCAGTTCTAGTAGCCGTCACGTCGTATTAAGCAGTCGACGAACGGCCAGCTGCTAGTTGTGACTGTGTAAATTGTCTTTTATGGTAAACGACAACTAATGATCGTGTAACTTTTAAACCAATCCGTGGAGACCATTTAATTTAAATTATACCTACTTCTAGAATTGTGTTTTTGGATTTTTCATTAGTTTAGTTTTAGTTAGGCCCCACAAATTAATTTATTTCGGCACAATTATACTTACTAGCATGAAGGCGATGTCGTGGACTCATACACACAGTTGCCGGAAGCGTCCTTTACGTAGCCTGGCTTGCAGAACTCGCAGCTAGGACCATCGGTGTTATGGGCGCAGTCCTACAAAACATTTCGTCTTTCACTTATGGTAACATAATACGCACAGTGTAGAAATATGAACATCTTAGCTTAAACATTTTCGCCAATGGACCGCAAAAGTACGCGTTCTCTATTTAGAGCTACGGTGTCTAAAGTTCAAGTTGCTATGATGATTGCCAACCTTCGTTTCAAGATGGTACCAAAAGAACATACTGACGCACGTTCTTGGTGTACATTTAGTTTAAGAAATCTACCAATTAACGACAGAAAAATAGCAAATAGAGTAACTAATAGGATCCATAGGCTGTAACTTATACGCATTGTAGTTAGAAGCGTTGTCTCTGTCCCGTTTATCTACATATATTATCATTAAACAATTATAGTTTTATTCATGACGGTAATGAATAATGAATTATAATAGTGTTTTTTTTATATATTAATCTACGCGGCATAAATGATACTTACAAAACACTCACGGGTCTCCGGGTGACACATTGACGAGTGGCCGTTGCACTCGCATGGTTCACAGACCTTTAGATATAATCCTCTCTCCAAGCTCCTAAAAACATGATGAAATATATGGTTAACAATAAGTATCAGATATTAACTTTACTTCGAGATTAGACGTAACTTCGTCAAGGTAAAAAAAACCTAAATTCTATTTTATTTTTGTATTAATTTTCACCCAGATACGTTAAACCGTTTGGGTTATCTTATTAATCTTACTAATATTATAAATGTGAAAGTTTAGATGGATGGATGATTGTTAGAGTTTGTAGCCTAAACGGCTGAACGGATTTCGATGAAATTTGACATAGATGTAGTGGATCCTCAGGAAGAAAACATAGGCTATTCAGTTTTGTTTTTTTCAATCCCACGCGAACGGAATTGCGGGCGAAAGCTAGTATGTAATAAACATACCTACATCCATCCAAATTTTCGCAATAATATTATGTGTGAATGTTGTGTTGTAGTAAGTATGTATTGCAACTAACCTTGTGTATCCAGGCGCACAGTTTTCGCAAGATGTACCAATATAGCCTTCGGGGCAGACGCATTGCTCTACATGAAGGGCTAAACGTCCATTGCCGTTGGCCTCTGCGATCTCAAGGCTCGCAGTAGATATCGGTGACACGTCATTCGTGGAATATGTCGCTTTTATTAATATAGTCTTCAAATGAGATAACGCTAACAGGAAGTGTATACGAGACACCTCTTTGCCGTCAGGTCTGGAAATAGACAAATGAATTACCTATGCTTGAAAAGATGTTATACAGCCGGATACTTCAGTGGTACTTATAGTAGTACTACTTTTTGATAGCTAGATTACGTTAAGTCTTTACAGTATTCTATACACTGGTATTCCAGAGTAACCTAAAGATTCGATTAAAAGAAATTGGATTCGTAAATTATAGAATGAAAGAGTTCATCTTCCATATTGCTGAAACAATTATTTCTGATACTTTTCTTCTTTTTTCACAAAGTTTATAGCATAAAATACATCAGAATTATTTCAATATTTAGTATGTGTACACACATAAATGTATATAGTTTGTTTGTTTAGATTTAGTTAAAAAACATTATAAAATTTATTACATAGTTACCTTTGCCATCCTTTTTCCAAAAGTTGCACGCTAGCTGTTAATGTGCCGTCGCTATTTGGTTCAAAGTTACCGAAGTAGTGGAAAGTAACATCCTGTAAAATGTATTTTTAATTTATAACAGTTATGAAATATAATTTAATGTTGTAAGTTTTAGTTAATAATTATTTTTCTAATAAATAAATGTTATACTAACGCTGATGAGTTGTATATCTGCAGCATTATTTCTAGTTCCATAAGGTGATACGTTAATGATGGTGTAGTTCAAATACCCTCCATATGACGTCACTTTGTCGCCGGCGTAACTGAAAAAATTGTTATAGGTCATTTACCGGATAAGCAGAACTAGATATAAAAACATATTTATAACAAAAACATTTAATAACAACTTTTTTCTCAATTTCACGATTTAAATTGCATTTAAATGTACTGTCTTGGTACATATTGCTTTTTAAAGGGGACGAATGCGTCAAACTTCAAGGATTAAATTAGTAGCAACAAAGTAACTAATGATACAACGAAAAGTTAATAAATTTAGGAAATCCTATTAAGGCCCTATTGTCCTTTTAAATGTTATTGTAGCAATTGGTACCTGGGTGGTAAACTCCAGTAGTAGATGGCAGGTCTTGATCTATCAACTTCTGGTAAAAGGACCTCTCCTCGTTGTAGGCTTGGTCGCAACTCAGTTTCCACTGGGGCGTTGTATCTTATAGCGCCGGCTCTGCTCGAGGGGGCGCTGGAGTACACTTTCATTTGGTTTACAACGTTAGGTACATTAAAGCTGACGGTAGTCGCCCTTCTGCGCAGGTTGGTGCTGCTTGTACATTGCTGAGACACCCCAGAACAGAAGCAAGGAGCACAACCTTGTCTGCAATAACACCACAATTATAACATTAGCGATGACCGGCGAACATTTACATGTCAAAAGTAATTAATTAAGCACATCTAAATGTAACGTTTAATTTAAATATCGAACCTGAAGTCTTGGGAGAGATAGAAAGAGCCATTCTTGCATCGATCGCAGAAGCGACCCTCCACGTTGTCTTTGCAAATGCATTCGTCGGGTGGTCGGACGACACTGGTGCCTTCGGGGTTGCAATTGTCAGTCGGCTTGGGTTTACACGAGTCGCCCGGTACCAGTGGATTGCCGACATAGCCCGCAGCGCAGTAGGCACATTGCGTGCCCTCGTATCTGCAAATTAACTTACATACAGTACTCACATATATGTTATGTTTGATCTTAAAAGTTGTTGAATCTAAAGAAAAACATTGCAGCTTTTACGATGTCGAATATGGCTTAAATTAAATTATTTAAATTTTAACGGAAGGTATACAACATAATTGGTGATTTATTAGCTGTACTTACCCAGGGAAACAATCGCAGGTGACTTGACCGCCGGGTCCAATAGAACAGGAGGTCGCAAATCTGTTTCCGGTGTTGGTGAGCGGGCAGGGGCAAGGCTTGCACTCGTAGCCACTAT